CAGTCTTGTTTCTTTGTACCTGGTGTTTTGTTTTGGTTTTGGTGTTGGTTGGTTGTGGGGCTTGAACTCTAGGGCTAGGTGCTGTCCCTGAGCTTTTTCATTCAAGGCTAGCATTCTACCACTTTGAGCCATAGTGCCAGTTCTGGTCTTCTGGTGGTTAATTGGAGATGAGTCTCACAGCTTTTCCTCTCTGGGCTGGCTTTGAACCGTGATCCTCAGATCTCAGCATTTTGAGTAGCTAGGATTACAGGTGTGAGCCACCAGCACCTAACTGGGTTTTGTTTTGTTTTCATTTTTGTTTTTTTTTTTTTAAGCTATGGAATCTGTGCAAATGCAAACATTACCAGGAAGACAATCACCTAAAACGTAAATCAGATCTTCTCACTTCCCTGCGCTGCCTAGTTCCTGTTCACCTAATTTCCCTACCTGCCTTTTCTACCATCTCCAACCAATGATCTTTGGTACCATTTTCTCTTCCTAGTATGTTCTTTCAATCCCTTTTCTCTAGTTACTGACCTTCTGGCTATCTCAGTTCAAGTTTAACTTCCTCCCAGAAGCCGTTCTGGGCTTTCTTGATTAGCTCTTATCTTTTATAGACTTAGTTTAGTTTGATTTGTATGATTATTTTTTATCATCTTTCATTAGACTGCACAGCCTCATGGAACAGCTTCCTGGTGTTTTTTGCTTGTGGGCCTGTTGTCTTCCCTACCCCAGCTCAGGGCAGGTACAGTGAAGCACTCAGTAAATATTGAAGGAAGAAATGCAAGCCCTGCTTTCTACACTGAGACTGAGTTCTGTTCCACTTTTCAGAAGAATGGTATGTGAAAAAAAGTTTGACTTTTTGAACAAGGAGGGAATAGTTTCAAGTATGGCCCCCAATCTTGTTGCCCAGAAGAAGATAAGGTATACTGTTTCTAAAGTCTACAAGGTCTTTTCTGGATAAGGTAAATCATCTTGTTTGGTTTAGGATTTTTAATCAGCTAAGAATGGAAAACAACTGAAGAGGCATAGATTATCTAAGCAAGCTGTAGCTTAATGATTAAAACTTTAGGATCTGGCTAGGCACTGGTGTCTCAAGCATATAATCTTAGCTATTTAGGATGCTGAGATCTGAGGATTGTGCTTCAAAGCCAGCCTGGGCAGGAAAGTTCATGAGATTTTTTTTTTTTGTCGGTTGTGAGGCTTGAACTCTGGGCCTGAGCGCTGTCCCTCAGCTCTTCAGCTCAAGGTGAGCACTCTACCTCTTGAGCTATAGCACCACTTCCGGTTTTCTGGTGGTTTTATTGGAGATAGGAGTCTCATGGTCTCTCCTGCCCGGGCTGGCTTTGAACCGCGATCCTCAGATCTCAGCCTTCTGAGTAGCTAGGATTACAGGCGTGAGCCACCAGCGCCCGGCTGTTCATGAGATTTTTATCTTCAGTTAAGCACCAGAAAACCAGAAGTTGAACTGTGGCTCAAAGTGGTAGAGTGCTAGCCTTGATTGAAAAAGCTCAAGGATGGTACCCAGGCCCTGAGTTCAAGCCCCACAAAAAAAATGCTTGGAAAGCCCTTTGAACAGGTTCTGAAATCTAGCAAGTACATGTTATATAGGAGCTCTGCTTCCCCTGAGCTCTCCCTGCCTTCATAAAAGTCTGGTAGACATGGCCTCATAGCAGCCTGCGATGTCTTGGGGTTGGAGGGATGTCCCCAGGGAGGTTGCAGGTCATTTTCTGCTTCATCCTCTTAGAAGTGGAGGAGCAGGCAAGGTATATATATCTACCATTCAAGACTTTGAGCAACATAATGCATATAATGTGCTTGAAGATGCTTAGCAGATAAGCAAGGGTGCTGGAATTGTTTTTTTTGACTATTCTATTGCATTTTCTCCAATTCCTTTTCAATTTTCTATGTATCTGGAGCAGCCCACATGACCATCATGTTCTTTACTGTTCTATGTAAGGCCCACAGCAGAAAGGTAATTTCCATACCAAGATGAATCCAGGCAGCCCTGGAACCCTTGCCTGTATTTGGGAGAGGTGGAGGAGAATTGGGTGGGGGACTGGGTATGCTGGGTTAGTGTGTTTGTGGAAATAAACTAAGTCTTCTTGGGAAGGTGCAGGTGAGGGAACAAAGAATATGAGGTCCTGTTTCTACCAGACCTCCTGCCTTGGAGTGTGGAAGAGCCAGGAGAAAAAGCTGACACCAGTAGGTCACAAGGGTGCCACTGTTTAGATTTCAGCCGTGTTCAGCTGCACATCTCACGTAGGTCTAGTTGGCGGCCTGTACTCAGAGCCTGGGCCTCATCTGGTGAATTTTCTCCATGCAGATTCTTTCATGTGCCTGCATGTAGGCAGCACAGTACAACCTCTTCTAGAAACTATGTGGACACTTTGAACTAGCTCTTAAAAGCCAATGCCAGAAGAATAGCATTTGCAGGGCTTGGTGAACTTGGGAGAAACTTTGATGTTCTTATAGAAAGAGTGTTTTGCTCTGAAGCCAGAGACTCTGGATTCCAGTAAAAGCAGCAGGCATATCTCTATTTTTTTCTTTTTCACTGCACCAGCATCTGAGGGGCTCTCCAACTGGACAGACACCTACTAGGTATCTTGGGTGGGCTTGGGAACGTGATGATAAAGAACTCTATTTGCAATATTGGGAAACACTCACTTTTCCCATGTTTTCTTCTTCCAGTTCTCCTTTATTTCAGGAGGTAAGACTCTTTAAAAAAGTGTCAATACAGGGGCATGAATTCAGAGCCTCACAGTCTCCCTTAGCTTTTTGGCTCAAGGCTGACACTCTTATCATGTGAGTGATTCTTCCACTTCCAAAGATATAAGGCTTTTAAAGAGCAAGGAAACCTTAGGGTGTGTGAGAGGAAGTTGCACTAAGCCAGTCCTGTCTTCTCTCTGTAGCTTCAGGTGCCTGGCCTCTGGCCCTGAAGACGGTCACTGGAGCACTTTGTTTATATCCATAGCCAAGAAGACAGGGTTAGTAAAGCCAAGCCCAGAAAGGAGGCCTAACCATGTGACTTCAGTTTCCACTGGCAGCTGTTACCCGGATGTACACCAGGAGAGGTTCAGCCTGAGTAGTTGAAAGTGCAATCCTGTGGTTTGTGTTTCTTTGCTGAGCAGGGTTTTCCTTTTAACTCTGAGCTTCTGTAAGATGGGAGCACTGTCTTTTTCAGCTTTATCCCTTTTACCCCCATACAGTGCTAATATTATTAGTGCTGCCTGCCTAATTAGTGACGTACAAAGAATGTTGAAAGCCAGATGTAGTGCATGACTTACAGGTAGCACCATATGTATGTTGTGCCCCAAAGTACACATGGGCTGAGGTTAAGGTATTTCATATCGTGACTGTGAAATATATATGTGAATATGTTCACCTCTCCCTTCAGGCTAAGAATAGAAGCTGGCAGACTGCTAGATGGTTACTCAGCAGTGCCCTTTATGTGGCTGCCCCTGACAGGGGACAGTAAGAGTCCTGGATCCTGTCAGTATTCTTAGGAGACCATTTGAAAAACAAAATCTGGCAAATTAAAATTAGACAAGGTGACCCCATACAAGATGCCACTTTTCTGAAGAAAGAAGAATTTTAGGAGGTTCCCCCACCCCCCGCCACTTGAATCTCACTGTAAATAAATAACCTTGAAGAGCATGTGTTTGGAAAGGGAAGTGAAATGACAGACAACATGCTAATCCTAGAGTCTCTGTTGCATTCATTATTCCCAGAAGTTTCACAGAAAAGCCGTTTCATTGAAGATGTAGTACTAAACTCAGGAGACGCATCACCTTCCTACCATTTGAGTTTAACATGGAACATGGGAATACAGATGTTTCTGCTTGGATGTAAAGAAAGCTAGGTGCTGGGTGCTGGTGGTTAACACCTGTAATTCTAGCTACTGGGGAGGCTGAGATCTGAGGATCATTGTTCAAAGCCAGCCCACACAGAAAAGTCTGTCAGACTCTTAACCACGAGAACTCAATTAACCACCAGAAAACTGGAAGTGGAGATGTGGCTCAAAGTAAGAGTGCTAGCCTTGAGCAAAAGAGCTCAGGCCTTGAGTTCAAGTCCCACAATCACTACCACCACCACCAAAAGAAAGCAAGGCAACCCTTTCCTCCTTGTCTTTTTTTTTTGCCAGTTGTGGGGCTTGAACTCTGGGCCTGGGCAGTCGCTGAGATCTTCAGCTCAAGGCAGACTGTCTACCACTTGAGCCACAGTGTCACTTCTGGTGTTCTGGTGATTAATTGGAGATAAGAATCTTACAGACTTTCCTGCCCAGGCTGGCTTTGAACTGCAATCCTCAGATCTCAGCCTCCTAAGTAGCTAGGATTACAGGTGTGAGCCACCGCTGCCCGGCTTCTTCCCTGTCTTTTTTTTGGGTCCGGTTGTGGGGCCTGAACTCTGGGCTTGGATGCTGTCCCTCAGCTCTTCAGCTCAAGGCTAGCACTCTACCACTTGAGCCACAGTGCCACTGAGCCACCTTCCCAGCCCTTCCTTGTCTTTTTGAGCCCTCTCTCTATACCACTTGACTTTTTGTGCTGAATCTTCTTCCCTGATTAATAAATCTATTCACTCCTCTAAGCTCTGCTGGTGTGTGTGTGTGGTTTTTGTTTTAAATCTTGGGTCCTTAATGGAATAATCACTGATAGAGGTTTTATTTTTTTGGGGGGAGGGGGGGTTGGTCATGGTGCTTAAACTCTGGGCTTGGGCACTGTCCCTGTGCTCTTCAGCTCAAGGTGAGTGCTCTACCACAGCACCACTTCTGGTTTTCTAGTTGTTTATTAGAGATAAGAGTCTCACAGACTTTACTGCCCGAGCTGGTTTTGAACCTCGATCCTCAGATCTCAGCCTCCTTAGTAGCTAGGATTACAGGTATGAGCCACTGGCGCCCAGCTACTGATAAGAGTTTTAGCTGTGGAAAGGCAGATCAGGAGGAAGGGAATGAGAAGGAAAGTGGTTATCTCAATGATATAGTTTAATATGATAAAATGCTTCTCAATTTTTTTTTCTTAAAGGATAAGGAAGCCTGTGTGGGTACCAACAATCAAAGCTACATCTGTGACACAGGACACTGCTGTGGACAGTCTCAGTGCTGCAACTACTACTATGAACTCTGGTGTAAGTCCTTGCCCAGGGGCTTCCTGGCATCCTAGGGTCCCGGTTACTGCCTCTGCTCTTTGGGAAACCATGGGCTGGCCAGCCTTTTCTGATTCTCTTGGGGACAGTGTTGGTGAGTAGAATCTGGTTATGTGTTCCAGAAACAATTCCTTTGTAGAGGAGGAGGGTTCTCATATTGTCTGAACACTGGGCTTAACCTCAGGGAATATGGTCTTAAGTCTTTGAAGGCTATAATCACCAGCTTGCTGCTGGTGCTGCTGCACATGGTTCTCCTTGATGCTCTCTCTTCCATATACCAAACAGTTGACAGCATTATGGACACTTTCTTGGACCAGCCCAGAAGCCCAGGCTTGTCTCTTTGCTTTGTGAGGATGCTGCTGGACTTTAGATGGTCCCAGTACCATTTTAATGTAGAACCAACCAGGCTTCTGGAATTCTCCTGTAGAGCCTCATGGAGTTAACTACTTCCCTTCCTCAGGGTTCCTCTTAGAACACAGTCTTCCTCTGCCTGAAGAGCCAGGAGATCTTGAGCATCAGTCCCTTTTGCTCCTTCCCCATTTTTCAAACTAAAGCAATCTGGATGCTTCTCCAGTAGATCTAACCTTTATGCTGTCAGCTAAATGTCATGTGGAGATGATCTTCATCTTGCCACTGGTTTGATTGGAGCCAGAACTACATGCATTTTAAACATCTGTACAATAGTGATAACATCATTGTAGTCTTCAGGGAGTGACCCAGGATGATTTTACCTAATACACATTATACCCTGAATTTTTTGGAATTCAGATGTGTGGGTGTCATTAGGTCATACAGGCCCCAGGTGACTGATACTGCAGTACTTAGGGACATCTCTTTCCCCCAGGTGATTGCCAAACTCCACCCTTACTGCTACTAGTACCCCTGCTGGTACCCCCACTCCCCAACCCCTCTTCAATCAGTGATGTGGTAGGAAAGTAGCTAGGCCTCTTGTGTAGAGTCCTGTTGGGAAGTCTGTTCCTGAGAAATGCAGTTGTCTCTCATAGCCAGCAGATGGGTCTGCCAGACAGGACCTGGCCTTCACCCTAACTATTCCCTTTTGAGGGTTAAGGACTGGCTCTTCAGCTTTTCAAAGGGCAGTCCAGTGCAGGGAAGGGGCCCCTGAGGTCACTCTCAGGCTTCCATGTACATAAGCAGCAGCAAAGGAGGGCACAAAATTGTTGATATTTTACAAAGGGTGGGGATGAAAAACTGAGTAAAGAACACCAAGTGCTAAGCAGGTAGACCGACTGTGTTTAAATATTTTACAATGCAGAAAACCACAGGGTTCAAGTTCTGTCTTCCACCCCTTGTTAAAACAAAAGTCAAAGCTGGCCTGCCAGAAAGCCACAGAGCTGAAGAGTATTTTCCCAGGACCCCACCCAGGCAGCATCAGTTGCAGAAAAGAACAGTTGCTGATGGCCCCTTCTCAGATTGATAGAGCCAGCCTCCTGGACTGTCAGCAGGGTACTCAGAAGCCACCAGTACTGGGTCATCAAAGCCAATGCTCTGTGTGTGTGTGTGTGTGTGTGTGTGTGTGTGTGTAGAAGCCACCAGTACTGGGTCATCAAAGCCAACGCTGTGTGTGTGTGTGTGTGTGTGTGTGTGTGTGTGTCTGGGTCATCAAAGCCAACGCTGTGTGTGTGTGTGTGTGTGTGTGTGTGTGTGTGTGTGTATAGAAGCCACCAGTACTGGGTCATCAAAGCCAATGCTGTGTGTGTGTGTGTGTGTGTGTGTGTGTGTGTGTGTGTGTGTGTGTGTAGAAGCCACCAGTACTGGGTCATCAAAGCCAACGCTGTGTGTGTGTGTGTGTGTGTCTGGGTCATCAAAGCCAACGCTCTGTGTGTGTGTGTGTGTGTGTGTGTGTGTGTGTGTGTGTAGAAGCCACCAGTACTGGGTCATCAAAGCCAACGCTATGTGTGTGTGTGTGTGTGTGTGTGTGTCTGGGTCATCAAAGCCAACGCTCTGTGTGTGTGTGTGTGTGTGTGTGTGTGTGTGTGTGTGTGTGTGTGTAGAAGCCACCAGTACTGGGTCATCAAAGCCAACGCTGTGTGTGTGTGTGTGTGTGTGTGTGTGTGTGTGTGTGTGTGTGTGTGTGTGTGTGTGTGTGTGTGTGTGTCTGGGTCATCAAAGCCAACGCTGTGTGTGTGTGTGTGTGTGTGTGTGTAGAAGCCACCAGTACTGGGTCATCAAAGCCAACGCTGTGTGTGTGTGTGTGTGTGTGTGTGTGTGTGTGTGTGTGTGTATGTGTGTGTAAGACCCAGATGGCAGGGAGATAATCTGGGAAGCAAGTGCTTCATTTTAAGAATTTGAAGTATTGGGCACCAGTGGTTCATGCCTGTAATCCTAACTACTCAGGAGGCTGAGATCTGAGGATCGCAGCTCAAAGCCAGCTCATGAAGGAAAGTCTGTGAGACTCTTATCTCCAATTAACCACCAGAAAACTGGAAGTGGTAGAGTGTTTGCCTTGAGCCAAAGAGCTCAGGGACAACACCCAGACTGAGTTCAAGCCCTACAACTGACCCCCTCCCCCCCCCCCCCCCCCCCCCGCCCTTAAAAAAAAAAAAGAATTTGAAGTCCAAGAAAGTACTGTCCTTTTTTTTTTTTTTTTTTTTGGCCATTCCTGGGACTTGAACTCAGGGCCTGGGCACTGCCCCTGAGCTTCTTTTGCTCAAGGCTAGCACTCTACCACCTGAGCTACAGTGTCACTTCTGGCTTTTTCTGTTTATGTGGTACTGAGTAAATCAAACCCAGGGTTTCATACATGCTAGGCAAGCACTCAATACCACTAAGCCATATTCCTAGCCCCAAAAGTTCCATATTTACATTTAGGGGTTGGTCGGGGAAAGAAGTTAGTTCAGCACAGGTCAACATCTGCTCAGGGAAGATGGACTCCCCATTGAAAAAGTCGGCATGGGGCTGGGAAGGTGGCTCAGTGGTAGAGCGCTTGCCTTGCATGCTCGAGGCCCTGGGTTTGATTCCTCAGCACCACATAAGCAAAAAGAAAAAAGCCGGAAGTGGCGCTGTGGCTCAAGTGGTAGAGTGCTAGCCTTGAGCTGAAGAGCTGAAGGACAGCGCCCAGGCTCAGAGTTCAGGCCCCACTACTGGACCCAAAAAAAAAAAGAACGAAAAAGAAAAAGTTGGCATGTACTTTCCAGATTCTGTAAAAAGCACATGTTTAAAAGTACAGTGTTCCCCTCACTGTGCCCAGCAATGGCTTTGTATTTGCCAGCCATGAGGCTTGAACTCCCGGCCCCAAGCCCTTACCTGCATTTTCCCTCAAGGCTGGTGCTTAAAAACCACACTTCCACTTCCAGGTTTTCCAGGATTTTACTAGTTATTTGGAGAAAAGAATTTCTTGGATTTGTTTGCCTAGATTAGGCTTCAAACTGCAATCCTCAGATCTCAGTTTCCCAAGTAGCTAGGATTTATAGGTGTGAGCTACCAGCATATGGCCAGCAGTGGCTTCTGGATCAGAAGACAGTGTATATTCTGTTCCTCTTGAAAGCTTTGGTTTTCCTCTTGATGCTGAGAATGGCCTCTGCTGGAAGAATGTAAAAGGTTAACTATGTGTTGAAATAATGCATGAAAATCTCAGCAAAATTTTTTTTTGGGGGTGAGGTAGTCCAGGCTAATCTGGAATTTACTATGTAGTTAAGCCTGGACTCAAACACTCAATCATCTTGCTTCTGTATCCTAAGTGCAAAAAACTACACCTTTTTGTTCTTGTTGTTTTTTTTGTTGTTGTTGCTTTGAACTATGTTTCTTGTAATTGCCTCTCAACTTTGCCAGAAATGGAAAAGGGTTGGTTTCCCACTCTACTTCCTTTGGAAGATTAAAAACTAGAGCTAGGAAATACTTGGCAGTCCTTTTTTTGTTTGTTTGTTCTGGTCCTGGAGCTTGAACTCAGGGCCTGGGCGCTGTCCCTGAGCTTTTACCTGAGCTTTTGGCTCAAAGCTAGCCCTCTACCACTTCAGGCCACAGCTCCAGTTTTCTGTTGGTTAATTGAAGATAAGAATTCTCTCAGAGGGGCTGGGAAGATGGCTCAGTGGTAGAGCGCTTGCCTTGCATGCATGAGGCCCTGGGGTCGATTCCTCAGCACCACATAAGCAAAAAGAAAAAAGCAGGAAGTGGCGCTGTGGCTCAGGCGCTAGAGTGCTAGCCTTGAGCTGAAGAGCTGAGGGACAGCGCCCAGGCCCAGAGTTCAGGCCCCACGACTGGACCCTCCCCCCCCCCCCCCCAAAAAAAAAAAAAAAAAAAAGGATTCTCACAGTCTGGCTTACTTTGAACCATGATCCTCAGATCTTAGCCTACTGAGTAGCTAATTTTTTTTTTTTTTGGGGGGTCCGGTCATGGGCCTGAACTCTGGGCCTGGGCACTGTCCCTCAGCTCTTCAGCCCAAGGCTAGCACTCTACCATTTGAGCCACAGCGCCATTTCCGGCTTTTTTCTTTTTGCTTATGTGGTACTGAGGAATCGAACCCAGGGCCTCATGCATGCAAGGCAAGCACTCTACCACTGAGCCACCTTCCCAGCCCCGAGTAGCTAATATTACAGGCATGAGCCACCAGTGCCCAGCTTGGCAGAGTACCTATGGTAAAGGCTTTAGGGAGAAAGTACCATTCTCTTCCCCTCCTTACCTTTTCCTCCCTCCCTCCCCGCCCCCTATTTTTCTCTTTCTCTTTCTTTTGTGCTACTACTAGGGCTTGAACTAAGGACCTGAGTTCTGGCTCAGCTAACTTGCCCACAGTTAGGTGCTCTGCTACTTGAGACATACCACCAGTCCGGCATTTTGCTAGTTCATTGTAGATGGAGTCTTACAGACTTTTCCTCCCAAAATGGGCTTCAAAGCCTCCTGTGTAGCTAAGGATTATACATGTGAGCTACTTGTATCCAGTGTTTATTCAGCCATCCTTACACGGAATTACTACACTGTATTTTCCTGTGTGCTAACACATACCCACTTTATACAGATACACAGGTACA